CCTCGACTTGGTTGATCGGATTTTCAAAGTCATAATAAGCAATAGCAGAACCGTTATCAATGGGATCCAGAGTGGATGTGGATCTGCAATTTGTTTTGTGAGTGTGTGTAAGAGCATAGTTGTATATTTTGATAAGGTAAAGAAGCAGAAAAGAAAAAAACAAAGAGCGTAAAAATTTGCATGCGAAACGTCCAATGTTTTATTGATGACATATGAAAATGAAACAATGACCCTCACAAATAGACCATTGTGCCTCTGGTAAGACGCAAGGCTTTAATGTTTCAATTGTTCAAATATTACTTTTCCTGAAAAATAAAAAGACAAATTACTCTTGAATAAAAGTAATAGGCATAAAGTCTTTAGCCTCCCAATTGCTGAGTCCACCACTGATGGTTGGGAAGATCCACTTGTCCAGGTCATAATCATTATCGCTGTCCTCCAGGGCATTGACTCCATGGTTGTTGATCTGTAAGGGTGGTCCCCAGTGTGAGCATGATGAACATCTCTCTAGGATCCTGAAGTAAAACCCAAACCAAATTTTTCATATTTGTAGGGAATATCTGGAAGTTGGCCCCAAATTGTACACCCACCTTCTTCAATTACTACTTTGGCATCCTTGAGAGAAGCCATTTTCAGCGGAGGTCTGGTAATCTTTGGAACACTGGAAGTGGTCTTGGTTGCAGCAACGGTCTGTGGAACCTCCTCAAAGTTCTGACAGGGGGTCTCAATGAACTCACCATCCATTTCAACGTACCTGAAAGAGTTCAGGTGGCTCACCATATACTCCTCCTCCCCATGAATTGTGATAATTTTCCCATTGACTGGGTAATTCAACATTTGATGCAGGGTAGAAGTCACAACGCCAGCCCTATGGATCCAGGGTCGACCCAATAAACAGGAGTAGGACGGACGAATGTCCATCACATAGAAAGTGGAATTAAAATTATGAGTACCCATTTTGATAGGGATGTCCACCTCCCCATGCACCATTCTTTTAGAACCGTCGAAGGCTTTCACTATAATGTTACTGGGCTTTAGAGTCAATCCTTCGCAATCCAATTTGTCAAGGGCTTTCTTGGAAAGAACATTCAGCGATGAACCTGTATCCACTAGAACATGGGCCAAAGTAGTGCCCCTGTACTCGATAGAGACATGCAGAGCATCATTATGTTTCCTTCCCTTGGGAGTTAGGTCTGCATCAGAGAATCCCAGGCCATTGTCAACTGTCAAACTAGCCACACAATTCTCGAATTGATCAGCGGAGGTCTCTTGAGGTACATGGGCAGACTTCAGGAAATTTACTAAAGCCTTGGCATGTGCTTCAGAGCACAGTAACATGGCTAGCATTGAGATCTTGGAAGGGGTCTGCCCCAGTTATTCAACCATATTGTATTCACTCTTTTTGATTATTTTCAATATCTCTTCCATCTCCTTTTTAGAAGCCTTAGGGATGGCTTCTAGATGTGCCTTCGTCTGGACAGGCTCAACCAATACCTCTTTGCCCTGAGTCTTGGTACTGAATTAAAAGAGGTAGAAAAGACTAAAGCTTTCTTATCCAAAAATTTTGATATGAAAGACTTAGGTGAAGCAGATGTGATTTTAGGAATTAAAATCATAAGAGATGGTGAACATATTGGTTTATCCCAGTCTCACTATATCGAAAAGGTGCTTAAGAAATTTGATCATTTCGATTGCAAATCCGTTTCTACTCCATTTGATCAAAATGTTAATTTGCAACCACATAAAGGGTGTCCAGTGGCACAACTTGAATATTCAAAGGTTATCGGATGCTTGATGTATGCTATGACCTGTACTAGACCTGATATAGCTTATGTTGTTGGTAGATTAAGTCGGTATACAAGTAATCCAAGTATAGACCATTGGCATGCTATTAATAGAGTATTAAAATACTTGAAATGGACGATTAACTATACTCTAACTTATAGTGAATATCCTTCGGTTTTAGAAGGATATACAAATGCCAGTTGGGTAACGTATGTGGAAGATCACGCCTCCACTAGTGGGTGGATCTTCAATCTTGGTGGAGGTGCAGTTTCTTGGGATTCAAAGAAACAGACTTGCATTATCGACTCCACCATGGTTGCAGAATTCATTGCTTTGACTGCAGGTAGTAAAGAGGCAGAATGGCTAAGAAACTTGTTGTATGAGATACCTATTTGGCCAAAGCCAATAACACCTGTGTCCATACATTGTGATAGTCAATCCACACTATCCAAAGCATATAGCCAAGTATATAATGGAAAATCTAGACATATTGGTATAAGACATAGCTATGTGAAAGATTTAATTTTAAATGGAGTAATCTCCATATGTACGTAAGAACTAAAAATAATCTTGCAGATCCTTTGACGAAAGGTCTGACAAAAGACATGGTGTTGAAGAAATCATTGGGGATGGGTCTCAAGCCCATATCTAATTGATCACCAATAGTGGAAACTCAACTCACACTTGATAAAAATCAAGTCTTGAGTTCAATGATGAAAGTACATTATTAGAGTGATTGAAGTACTTAACAATAGAGACACCTCAAGGGGAAAAAAGTAATTAGACCATAAAAGGTGAAGTGATATGATGAGATTATTCTCTTAATAGATATATAGCACATATTTGCTGAAATATTTATTATGGGAGCATTTCCGATATAGTCTACCTATATGAGAATGAAGTGGGCCGCTTCATAGAGTTCAAGGGCTTGACTCTTAAATTCTCATGAAAAGGATACATGACATAGGGCCTTATCAAATGTGTCATTTTTATAATTCTTTTGATAGTATCGAGATTTCATGTGTAAGTGTTGCACACTTGTTCTAATGACTAGTTGGTTCAAAGTTTGTCTATCAATGTCTGTTCGGGATGAGTGAAACCCATAGCTTACTAAGTATTGGTTCAAATCGTAAGATACCAATATCTGAAACCATGATATTTCCATAATTATGAGATTTAGTTATTTTGAAAATGGTGGGGGATTGTAAGAGAATTTCCAAAATAATATTAAATTAAATAATTGTATTATTTGAATTAATAATATAAATATTATATTCAGATATATATATTATTTAAATTAAATGATTGTTGGTATAATGTGTCGTGTCAATTGGTTACCTATTAACTAGGAACGGTTGCAATTTATAAGCAAACCATTACTATTTCTATGCAAAAACATTGTTACTGATACGTTGTTATCAAAAGGTGCAATTCCTTTTCATGGAGAAGCATTTGTTCCCAAATAGATTGTAGTCTCACTATAAATTGAATGTTTATTGGCACAATGAAGAAGATCAAGAATAATCAGTCTCAAAACATTTTCTCATACTAAATCATCTTTCTCTTCTCTAATGCATGAGAGCAAGAAAAAGAATTATTCTTCTGTAAAATACTATTAAAGATACGCTTAGAGAGATTGTGCAATTCTCTTTAAGGATTCCAAAGTATCCTACAAGAAATTTGCCGGTAAACCCTTTTGCATCCAACATAGAAAGATTGGTGGGGGCGAATTGTTCCTTAAGCTTAGTGTGGAAACATACGCTTTGGAATTTTCTCAAACAACTTTATTTCTCTATTTTTCATCTTCATTCATTCTCACTTTTGCAGCAGTCCCATAAAGACATATTTATAACAAGGAACAATACAGGTGAAAGGAGAAAGTGTCCTAATCTATCGACCAAAATATTTCATGAGTTTAGGAGAATTACTAATGGTCTAGAACGGAAGTAAAAAAAAGAAAATTCATGGCCCAGTGCCTAGTATGCCATGAGTGAAGATCAAGTATCAAGACCATGTGGCATGTTGTAAACATTGGCGTTTCTAGAGTGAAAGTTGGAGAATAATTACATGGATTTCACAGTTAGTCTGCCTCATATAGATAATGAGTAAGATCCAAATTCGGTAGTAATAGATGGATTATTTGAGTCATTTCATCTATACCGGTTAAGAACCTCCTACAAGGAACTTTTGATAACAAGGGGTTATCGCAAAATAGGAAAGTGGCACGAGATGTTAGTAAGCATTGTGTTAGTCGAGGACTCAGAGTCCACCTCACACTTTTAAGAAATGTTGCACCAAGTTGTTGGAGAGTTATTAAGTAAACTTTAGTCCAATTTTAGAATCGAGTATATAATGTATTTAGTATAAGACTAGGCATGTAGCTGCGGTGTTATATATATCACATCTATTCTATTTAGTTTCATTACTTGCTCTCCTCTGATTTAGGCTTGGAAAAAAAACTTGTTTTGTTCTATAGCAAAATATTCAAACAATATAATGGAAATTCTATGCCATTCTATTCCACTCCTCTTTGATTCGCCTTCTCTTTTTTGTTAAGCTCATATCCATACATAACTTTAATTTTTTTTTATTTATAAATGTGTCCTTAGGACATTTAAATATACAATTTAAATATAATATCTATATATTTAATTTATTATCAAATATCCTAAAAATACATGTTAATATTTGGCTTGCTCGATAATTGAAGAATGATGCTCATTCACTTAAACACAAATAATACATGCATTTTTATTTTCAATAACAATAATATATCACATTATTTAAATTTTAAATTTAGTGTAAAGTAATTTTACACCATTGAGTATTTTGTATTTTGTCAAATCATTTTTATATTTTAAAATTATTTAGATGACATAGTAGATTGTTGGTTTATTATTAAATAAGGTGTAAAATTATTTCCATTAAACTCTTAAATTAAATGATAAAAAGAAGTTATTAAACTGTTCGGCAACTTCGGCAACCAAAGTTAGTCTATTATTACTTTTATAACATTTCCAAACATTAACACACATGTAATATATTGTAACTACAAACAGATACAGTAAAAAGAAATATAGAAACTACACAATTTTTTATAGGGATTGAAGCGCGATACAAAATAACACAATAAAGAAAACACATGAGGAAAACAAGACATGCAAATCATCGAGGAGAACACCATTATTTCTTTTTTATCATAGGGGTAACAATATCTAGCGGGATAACTTGTGTTTAATTTCAAGCAACTTCAGTATGACGTGTTTTGGGAGCATTCTCTGAGTAGGAAATTCTTCAGAACACGCGATTCCAATTTTAGCAAACATCACTAGACACTCCTTTATGTTGTTTTCTACAATCCATGTCTCATCTTCAACATTTAGCATAACCAAACGTGAATCTACAATGTCAAGAATTTCTTCGGAAATTTTCATCTTACACAATTTGTGTAGACTAAGATTTTCATAAAACATATTATCTGTTGGTCTTTTTCCGGTAAGCATTTCCAACAAGAGAATTCCATAGCTGTAAATATCTCCCTCTAGTGTTACCGGACCACCAGCTCCATACTCTTTTCAAACAACAACAAAAATTTAGAAAAATAAATAAATATAACAGTATAAATAATATTTTATAACATATTGATTCTTTTTATTTTACTCATATAACATATTGATTCTAAAGTGGATTTTTTTTATATAATAAAATTAAAGGAAACAATTGTCATAAACTATGCTAAAAATATTGTATATCACGGGGAAATAGAGAAATGACATAGTATATTTTATAAATATTTAGAAATTATAATTGCTAAGTAAAGATAAATGGTTAACATGCTTGATGAATTTTTCTATTGAATCACGAGGTAATTATCAATAAGGAAATGTACAGAATTACCAATAACTCAATGTATATATGAAGGTTTTGTGATACATACTATATTACTCGACTAGCGTATATTAAACAGACAAGTACGTTATTCATCTGTTATATTATATACTTTCTTCAAAATAATTAGTAGGTGCTAGCTATTCAAAATAAATGCAAAACATTATGAATGATATATAGTAACAAGCAAAGGATAGAAAGAACTTTACCAGGAGGAACATATCCTATAGTTCCCTTAATTGTTGAGGAGTCAATTTGGTCTTTACTTGAATGTCCTGTGGATCCATGAATCAGCCTTGCTAAGCCAAAGTCACCCAAGTGAGCTACCATCTCTTCATCAAGAAGAACATTGCTTGGTTTAATATCACAGTGTACTACAACTTGATCTTCATCATGGTGAAGATAATCCAAAGCATGAGCTACATCAAGAGCAATGTCCACCCTTTTTGTGAGGCTGAGACTATGATTTCCTGGCCCTTCATTATCATGCAACAAATTTTCAAGACTCCCATTAGGCATGAACTCAAAAACAATAGCCTTGAAATCTTCACCCTTGTAATCAACACTTGAACAACAAGTTAGGATCTTCACAAGATTCCGGTGTTTCATCTTACCTAAAGCACTGCATTCTGCCACGAAACACTTTGCTGCCCCGCGTGTTTCAAGATTCAACACCTTTACAGCAATAGGTCTTTCAAAGTTGTGAAGAGATCCTCTATAAACCGAGCCAAAGCTTCCAGTTCCTACCAAATTGGATGAAGAAAATCCGTTGGTTGCTTCATGTAACTCTCCATATGTAACTCTCAGTGCCCTATTTTGCAGAGATGGCGAAGAAGGTAACTTTGTGGACTTTCTTGTGAGAACATGGACAATTGTAAACGCTACGAAAGAGATCAAAATCCCACCAAATACACTGATGATGATAAGTTTCTTTTTTAGAGATCTTTTGTGTTTCTTGGAGGGTTTCTTAAAACACGGTGGGAGCTTCAATTGAGATATCCCACCACAAAGGTTCTTATTTCCAATCAGTGAAACCTTTGTGGCATTGCTAAAGACACCTTCTTTGGGAACTTCACCACACAGATTGTTAAATGACAAGTCTAAAATTTTCAAGAATGTCAGATCTTCTAGTTCAAAGGGGATTGTACTTGAGAAATTGTTGTGAGAAATGTCTAAGGCTTCTAAGGATTTTAAAGAGGCCAAGAACAAAGGTATACTTCCATGTAGGAAGTTACTCCCCAATCCAAGACCTATCAATGATATGCAAGAAGCTAGACTCTTAGGAATTTCACCAGACAAATGATTTGACTCAAGACTCAAGATTGAGAGTTGCTTCAAATAACCAAACTCTGAAGGAATGGGACCAGTAAAATAGTTGTTTGACAAGACAATATTTATTAAACCATCTAGATAACTAAATGTTTGATTTGGTAAATCACCACTCAATTTATTTTCAGCAATACTTAATTTCTGCAATTGGGTGCAATATCTAAGGGAAAATGGAATCCTTCCTTCCAATTTATTGCCCGAAAGATATAATTCAGACAAGATAGTAAGATTTCCAATATTTGTGGGAATGTTACTAGATAATTTGTTTGCTTGCAAGACCAAACTTACTAGATTCTTAAGCTTTCCAATTGAATTTGGAATTGATCCTTCGAGGGAATTGCTTCCCATGTCTAAGGAAGTTAAACCAATTAGTTGTCCAATTCCTTCAGGTATCACTCCATATATTTGATTTTCTGCTAGCTTAAATTGTTTGAGGTTGATGGAAAGGTTTCCTATAAGGTTAGGCAACTTACCACCAAATTTATTGTGATCCAAAAGGAGTCTTGATAGTTGAGTACAATTGGTTAAAGAAGAAAGGAAGTCTAAATCATGAGCACCCCCACTTCCAAAATTATTATTCACAATATTAAAACTGTAAAGTTTATTTAATCGACCTAAAGTAAGAGGTATTGGCCCATTAAAAAAATTGTCTCCTATATCAATTATTTGCAATTCAGTGAGATTAGACATTGAAGAAGGAAAAGTTCCGCTTATTTGGTTTCCTGATACATATAGTCCTTCAAGATTGGGAAAAGCCAGAATCATATCTGATGGTAGACTACCAAATAAGTTGTTTTCCCCAAGATCAAAATTTTGAATATTTGATAGATTATAAAGAGAATGAGGGACTTCACCTGACAAATTATTTGAATTCAGAGCCAATATTTTCAATTCCGACAACTTACCAAAAGCATGAGGTATGTTTCCTGCCAGGTGATTCCATGAAAGAAATAAAACATTGAGAAATGTTATATTTCCCAAGGAAGGTGGAATAGTGCCAACTAGATTATTGATACCAAGGTTTAACAAAATAAGTTGCATTGATCCAAACCATGAAGGGACTCTTCCAGTGAGGTGATTGTGATACAATTCAATTACATGTAGATTTGTGCAGTTGGACAGCTCCATAGGAAATTCTCCTTCAAGTTTGTTGTTGCTTAAGGAAAGCTTTCGCAATCGCTTCAATCGACCAACTTGTTTTGGAATTTCACCATGCAAACTAATGTTGGTAAGTTTGAGTATTCTGAGAAATGTGAGATTTCCTAAGGATGGACCAAGAGTGCCACCCAAAGTTTGGTTCTCCAAATGCAAGACAGATACTCTCATGTGACGACGGCCACATGTGACACCCTGCCATTCACACAAATGCAAAGACTGATTCCATGATGGTAGAGAATCAGGCACACTGTTTGTAAGCTTTTCCTTCAAAGCTAGCAAAGCAAGTTCATCGGTGTATGAACTCAAAGAAAGAGCGTTTGTTGCTGAGAGCATGTAATGCATCAACACTGGAATTGCAAAGCAGAGAAAACAAGTCATTAAAATTCTCATTTTGCTATTGGATGTGTATATTATGAGTAAGCAAATAATAGTTTCTCTTGTATATGCTGCAGCTATTACATATATGATTATATATAGAGAGGCAAGTATAAATAATAGATAAAGATAACCGTGTTGCTCATGTCACACTATTCTTGTTGACTTGTTGACTTGTTGACTTGTACAAGAGATTCAATCATTTTAATTTTATGTTATATATGACAAAGCTAAATGCATGATAATGATGTTTAAGAATATTCTGTCTTTAAATAACACAACCTTCTTAATCTATCTATTCATTAATTAAATCATTCATTTTGTCACTCATGTAGTACTCAGTTGGAATCCATCCTTAAATATAAGATTCCTAAATAAAATGATGGGAATTAATAAAATTGATAATAGCATTAAATTTATTTATAATTAATATTGTTCTTGCGAATTTATCATTTAAGTTAGGTTTCTATGATGAGATTTATTGAAGATTATAAAAAAAAAAACAATATAAAATAAATTATTAATGTAATTGAAAATTTGAAGTGTTCCAGAAATTATTTGGTGTAGTTTCAATTTTGAGAGATTTGATTTTTCTTTTTTGATAAGCAAAGAAAAACTGTTGGTGATATTTCCAAAATATATTTGGAAAATTGCAATGATTAGAAAATATATTTTAGAGAAAAGTGTAATGTTTTACAATTGAAGCAACGTAATCATTCATGAACAAAATCTTTCAAAGAGTTGTTTTCCTTCACCAAAGGATAAGTTTCACTATAAATAGAGACATTTGTTAGACATTGAAAAGATACGAAAATAGTATATTTCAAGTGCCAAAAATTATATCTACATCATTCTTTTATTTTTCTAGTGCGCGAGAATAAATGAGTGAATTTTATTTTGTAAAATATCGTTGATCGATATGCTTAATATGAATGTGCGATTCATGTTAAGGTTTCTAAAGTATCCTGAAGGGAATTTGCCGGTTAACTCATTTGCATCCAACTTGTCTAAATTGGTGGGGATGAATCGAACCTAAAACTTAGTGTAAACACACGTTTTGGAATTTATTTTGTGTAACTTTCATCGTACCGTTTTCATATTCTTTTGTTCAGGTTTTGCAGCAGACCTCCAACAGAAGATCTAACAAAAACTTGACATTAAAAAGAAGCACTAGGGTGCTCACCCTTATACAACTAAGGAAGCCAAAAAGCACAAAAACAACAAACCAACCAAAAAAAGAAAAAAACATACCCAAACCAAGACCAACAAACCTACACCAACCCGACCCCAGGATTGATACACCAATTGGATTAAGAAATGTTCATCCCTTTTCTATGAAGAGTATTGAACCATTCCCAAGATAAAATCATAATAAAGTTCAACACATCTGCTAAACAACGACGACTTATCTAGAGGGGGTGAATAGATCTCCAATTAAAAATTACCTTTCAAAAATAGGTATTTAAAAATTTGTTTGAAAAACAATGTTAAGCGAAAGAGTTTTTGGCCAAGATTGAAATAGTCATCTAAACAAATTGATAACATGAAAATATATAGTATATTTCGACTCGATTTTGCATGTATTTTGGTGCCAATTTGATATGTTTGCGTAGTATTATGCCATTATTGTTTGATTGTTCCAGGTAATTACCAAAGAAGAGCATATGTGCGAGAAACCGACGAAAAGAGCTAAAAGTGAAGAAAAGAAGCAAAAAATATCATTTCTGGTGCACGGCGTTCGCCATGGGCCTGTGGCGTTCACCATGAGCCCAAAATACAACATTGGCCATTTTTATGTGATATCGGAATGCCATGAGCTTGCAATCCAAAAAAAAAAAAAAGAGAAAACAATATTGCTCAGTCTTCTCCCCCACCTTTCGTACTTTTTCTCCATGAATTCCATACGATTCAGAGCACTTTCAAAAGCAGAAATCACTATATATTAGTAGTTTCATGAGATTTTATCATCCAAGTTTGTACGTAAGAAGCATTTATAGAGTTTAAGCATAAATTTCAAATTTGCAAAGTGGTAGAGCTCTCACATTGGGGGACTACCACACCATGGTTCTTGGTAATTTCATTGTATTTCTTGGATAAAAAAATGAAGCTTGTCGGCATTTGAACCAATTTCCAGTTGCATTGCATCTGAAGTATTCCAGATTTATCGGATTTGAAGTTATTCTAGTTTATTATTTCAGCTTTATTTTACAGGTTCAATTATTTATAATTGCTTTAATTGTTAGTTTTGTTTCTTAATATTTTTTCTGTTCTCGTTGTTGTTGTCCCGAGAAATTGTTATACTTGCTATAAACCATTTTTAAACCTTTAACATGTTTATGCTTGTGATTTACGATTATAAATGCATGTTTGTTTCAAAAATCATGTCTGGCTAAATTGTATTGAGTCTGGTATGTGAGGATCGTTGTTCCGGCGAGACTTGGTATTCATTTGGCGTAATTTCTTTTTACAAATTGTTTTTTTCATGGTTCCGATTTTTAGTTTAAAATTTAAAAGGTTTTGCATGACGGTGAAAACACTAAGGTTACAAACCAATAGCATGACAATGTGAGGTTCGTACCAGGTAGTAAAAATTGGACAATAATTTCTAAACACATCAAGAGCGTTTTAGGATTAATTACGACTTGTTGGTTTTCAAAAAATATTCTGCAACTTAAATGAGTGAGCGACAACAAAACATTTGTGGTTTTAAAATATAACAAGGGTCAATAGCACGACATTGTGAGACTAATGTTTTTAAACTAATATTTTCTTCTGAAAAGTAATTTTAAAACGTAACATACACCAATGATTTATTGAGTCCCGAGGGTACACTGGGAACCACGTTCTGGTCTATCTTATTTAATATACTTTGTAAGTTTTATTCTATTTCTAACTTTAGCTTTGATTATTACCTTGTACGAAAAATTTATTATCCTTAGATTTACAAAGTAGCAATATGTTATGATAAGTTTCACTATTAGTCTATGTGAGATCGATATCTTTTATCACTATAACGATACACATGTGCACTTGGTGTTAAAATGACATAAAGTTTTTGGTGTCATTTTCTGGGACTAATTTAGTCAATATCGCGACTCCGTTGTTACACCATATAAACTAGGGAAAATACCTTCCTACTAATTAGTTGGTTGTATGCAAAATACTTTTTCTTCAGAGGGCGAGCTAACACAATCGATAAACAAAATTGAGCATTTCATTCACCTTAAACGCTGAATCTGAGAACTCTAAATTCAGTATGATATCCCAGATATGGCTGTTGCAAACGTAAGCCGTCCTCTTAAAGATTTTGCTGCTTCATCCCAAGAGGAGCCACACTCGAGTATTGCACCCCCCCCCCCCCCCCCCCGCCATCGAGGTGAACAATTTCAAGTTAAAACCCGCTTTGTTGCAAATCGTGCAACAAAACCATTTCTCAGGTAGTCCCACCGAGGATCCTAACCTTCATTTGTCACTGTTTGTGCAGTACGCGGACACTTTGAAAGCCAATGGTGTTAATTCAGAAGAAATTTGAATCCCTCTTTTCCCATTCTCTCTAAGTGATAGAGCTGGAACTTGACTCTAATCCCGACCCTTAAACTCCATCACTACATGGAACAAATTGAAGAAATGCTTCTTAGCCCGATACTTCTCACCTAGTAAGACAAATATGCTAAGAAGCAAAATCAATGGATTTAGATAAAAAGATGGAGTGTCCCTTTTTGAAGCTTGGGAAAGATACTAGGATATTCGCACCATGGTTTGGAATAATGGCTAATTATCCACACCTTCTACAATGGTCTCTTGTAAAACACAAGAATGATAATAGATGTTGCAGCAAGAGGCACACTGATGGATAAACCTTACCAAGATGCATATCATCTCATAGAGAATATGGAACAAAATCATTAACAATGGGGAAGTGAGCAAACTCCTGTAGAGAAATTCCAGATAAATGGCGGTATATATGAAGTTAAAGGCATAGACCGTGCCAATGCTAAAGTAAACGCCCTAAATTAAAAAATTGAAAGTTTAACCGTAACTCCAGTAGGTACCATAGCTGCAGTAACCCCTGACTGTGAATTATGTGGAGTGCCTGGACACATCAATATCGAATGTCAATTGTTGGCATAAATTCCATCCGACCAATTGAATTATGCCCAAGAAAACCCATACTCAAACATCTACAACCCAGGATGGAGGAATCATCCCAAATATTCTTACAAGAATAACAATGCATTATTTTCTCCTAGCCAACCACCCAACACCCCTCCTTGTTTTCAGAGAGAAACACTGACTGCTCCTCAAGCGCCCAAAAATTCAAACCTCAAACTCATGATGGAAAAATTTGTTGCATATCAGAATCAACAAAATAAGAGATTCATGAATCAAAAGATTCATACCAACGAGTCGGTGAAATAATTGGCAACCAAAGTCGACGCTTTAGCCACACATAACAAAATGATTGAAACACAAATTTCTCAAGTGGCACAACAACAAGCAGCTATTGCTTACCCTACTGGTGTGTTTCCTGGCCAACCCCAACCAAACCCGAAAGGACATGCCAATGTTATCACATTGCAAAGTGGTACATAATTAGAAGACCCAATTGATCTGAGAGTCACAAACGAGACAGTGGTTAGGAAAGATGATGAGGTGACCAAAGATCCAGAAAGAGAGATTGATGATAACTCAGTAAGAAAACCAGAAGAAGCCAATAGGGCAGAACCTAAAGAAAAGGAGAGCCAAGAAAAAGAGAAACCCTACATTCCTTCACCTCCATTTCGACCATCAATTCCTTTTCCCAAAAAGCTTTCCAAGTCAAAGACTGATGGCCAATTTAAGAAATTTGATGAGCTTTTGAAACAACTCAATATAACTATACCTTTCTCTGAAGCCATAACCCAAATGCCTTCTTATGCTAAGTTCCTCAAGGAAATTTTATCAAATAAGAGGAAGCTAGAAGATGATAGCACAGTAGCACTGAATGAGGAGTGCAGTGCCATAATACCTAACAA